GGTAATTATCAGTCTCCCCTTGCTGTAATGCCTTGTTAAGACCCAAGGCATGTGACTCCGTAAGTTCCCCGTTTGTGCTAGAAAATGAATCGGGGGTGGATATTCCCTCGACACCGTGTTAGTGCAACTTCGGCTTCGCTTCCCATGATCATTATATTTGTGATCATCGTAACCCTGCAAATTATGAAATTAATTTGTGAATAAATAATTACTAATTTGTTGATACAAATAGAAATTGTTAGTACTGAGCACCAATTTTTGGACAAGGAAATAGCAAATTCGCACTAAATATTTTGGATAACGTTATGTAACTATTTTCATCCCATAATTAACGGTAACTTTTTCAACATAAATCTAGCATTTATCAACATTTTGACTAAACGATTTTTTTTTTTTTTAATCACACAACTTATTCGTCACCTTAGCCATATCAGGCGGGATGTCGGGTTCTAGCAATTTCCCTTCCCCGAAGCTCATGTAAACCCCACTTTCAGTCCCGAGCAAATCATCTAACCCAGATGACGAAGACAAGAATAATGAAGATTGAGTAGTACTACCCAAGGATCCGAACAACGAAAGGAAAGCAGAAGACTGCAGCGACCGAGGCGATAGTGAGGAATATGCCACTGAGTATGAATGGATAATGAGTGGCGTTTCCTCTGAGTATATTAGGGTTTTGAGACCAGGTTGGAGACATCTGATTTGCATGGGGGGTTGAAACTTCGACTTCAGCAGCAGAATTCTGCTAAGATATGAAACAATGGATTTAGACGGCTTACATAATAACCCAACTTTTGTGGTTAACCTGCCAGAAAAAGTAAGCAAATAAATTTTAGCCGTTACAAAGAAATAAGTTATATAAAAGCATGAAAATATGGTAGTAGAAAATTGCACTACAAAAAAAAAAAAAATTGCATGTTGCGATGCTATTTACTGCGTTAGTTTGTACTAAAATTATATTAAAATAACATTTACAACGTTTATTATTGCGACAATTTGCATTAAAAAAAAAGTGTCAGCATTATGAAGATTTTTTTTTTTTTTTATGTAGTGTTATGATATGTGAGATTCGTTTACACATGGGAGAAGACAATCATAATTTTTGCTTTTTCCTTTTTATTTTTCTAACTCCAGTGTATTCTAAAACTCAACTTGGTTTAACTCAATTGATATCCAAGCAAACCAATCCTTCATAAGTTTAGTGACTGAATTAATAGCAATATAATGTAGTTTAAATTAGTTATCTCATTTTTTTTTTATTTTTCAAATTATACTAGGGGAAGTAGGATACGACCGTAGTAATTAATGAAGGAACATTAATTAAAGTAATTATACTCTAATATTATTACTTAAACACGATCCAAGATCACGTTGAGTTTGGGACGACTAGCATATAGTCTTTTCTATTATCAGAAAAATGAAGTTTCGGTTTGTTTTTCATAAAACAACATGAAATGAATGGGAAGAAAACTAGTAGATATCAAGAAAACAAAACCAAACTGCAAGCGCAATCCAACAAACATAAAAGCAATAGTATCCTAGCTAATAATATTATAATGACAATAGAAAACTTACCCTATACGGATTTCTACAGCTACCTTTCTCAATTTCGTCTCCCGATACAATCAAATCAACCTTAGAAAAAGAAGTGTGATCAACTAAGACAACATCCAAAAACTCTGATATCATGGCAAAATCCCCAAGATGGTAACCTCTGTTTATAGTGTAGAAAAAGAGGGGTTCATGGTCACGTTGCATTGCCAGCTGCAACCTCCTTAAATAATGTAAAAGTCTTCCGCGGCGCTCCACAGCAGTGGCTTCCGGGTCATTTCACCTTCCTCATACTTAAACGGCTTGCTTTATAATTTATATCTTATGCTTGGCGGATTGACTCAGGAGACTTTAGAGGATCATATCTCGAGGACCGTCTGATCCCTCCAACTAATTTTGTTGGTTTCAGGAAAATCATATTTTTCTCTTTATTTCTCTATTTGACAGTTAAATTATATTAAAATATAAAATAAATCAGAATAGAATATATATTTTTTTTTTCAAAAAATAAAAATAAGAATCATATTGCAGCATACACATCTTTATTAATAATTTTTTTTACAAACTCCCTAGCATTTGGTAAATGCATTGAATTTTAATTAATCTGAAATTGAACTGTATCAAATTCTATAAAAAAAAACTCTTTTAACACTTACTTCTTTATTTAAGAAATTCGAACTTGTAACTTTACCTAAAAGAAATTAAATTTCTTCTACTTAAATTAAGAGGTTATTATTAAATAAATTATCATTAAATTATTTAAGTAATTGACATATCTTTATTAATAATTAAAAATAATGCATTTCATATAAAACATGCTACGTTAAAACATTCTCACGATTCTCACCAGTGAAATCAAAATTATTGTAAGCATTAAATCAAGAGGCCCCGCATCTGAAGTGGCTAGGAATTTCAATGAGGATGGATGGTTAATGAATCAGGTAGTTCCAGTTGTAGTATAGCATCCATGTTCAGTGGTTAGGGATTACTACGCCTGAGTGCCTGACCCATCTAATTAAGGGTGCATTTAAGATTGGGATTTGTAGTTTTTTCTATAG